CTGGTCTCCACCGCCAGGCCGCCAGAGTACTTCCAGGCCGCCCTTCTAAGCCACGAAAACGGGCCGAAGGTAAGCCGAACGCCAGGCCGTCCGGCCCACCGGAACAGGCCCGCGCCCGGCCGGGGAGCCGAATAATATAGTCCGGACCAGGCCTCCACCACCGGGCCGCCCAAGATCTTCCTGGCCGGAGTTCCTCCCGCCCCAGGACACTGCAACCAGGACACTCCCGCCCCAGGACACTGCAACCATCATAAATATGAGTTGCCAACCACCTGAATTCTGATCATATGATCATGGGAATGCTGCAATGGTCATATATGTGAAAAATGGTCATAAGTTACTTGTTCAGTGCCATTTTAACTTTGAACAGTCACTAAATGAACTGCTTTAAGTCGAAGACTACCTGTACCTAATCGATGATCACACCCAGAGGCATCATGTAAGGCATTGGAAGGACAAGGCACTGAGCCTGTGGTATCTCATAAAGCAGTCTTCAACTTATTCTTCCCCTCATCAATATCAACTGATATTGGAGAAAGGAGAAGAAGCACTGCAACTTCATGTCTCCCACTTTCAATCCTCATAGTTAATCCAGAAAGATACTATGAAAATATTGAAAGATGTCAAGAAGAATCAGGACATCCTGGCACTGACAGGGGTTACCAACAAGTATAACAAATGTTGTCTCTCTACTTTGCCTGGGCCTGAAACCTGACTGAAGCAGGCCCAGATAATCTGATAATGTCAGTATCTTTTAAAGTTGCAACTTGATCACCTTTTCAACAACTTTCCTAGATAGGAAGAATGAAGACTGGGCTACAATTGTCTGCCACTATAGGGTCCAGTTTTTTCAGGTAGTATACACTCAGGTAGTATACACTATCATCAAGTTAGGCAAAAGCATCCTCTCATTCAAGGATGAATTCACCATTCATGTATCCAACCAAAAGGGAACTAGATTTAACAGGCAACTAGGTTAACAGTCCCAAAAGCCATGTTCTCTTCCTCAGCTGTCATAGGATTAAGCATTCCCAAACAACAGGACAAGGCCATGCTTCAGCAAATGTCACCAGACTGCCCAGTCAGATTCTAACTCAAGATCCCTTTCTTGCCTAGTAATTTTCAATAGGCCCAACCTCTTTCTGGTGGTGGGTGGGTAAGACAGCACCAGCAACCCCAAAACAATCAGTCTGACCATGACACAGGACTGATAGAGCCTTCAGATCATGTTATAATTACCCTGTGATAAAAACTAGATCTAACACCTGATTATTTCTGTATATTACATCCTTTAATGATTTGGATCAGGTTCATGCTTGCTAGGGTGGCCCTGAACTATATATGAGCAGGTAAAGTCTTCAAAGCTATCATTTTTGGAGATTCCACTACTAATCCAAAGACAGTGTGAAGTAGCACAGGCTATGCAGCAGTAACAAACTCACTACTCCCTAAAGCCCAACTACAATCACCCTCTCTCCACCATCACTTTTACCTTCTCACACTTACCCATTCCCTTTCCCAGGTCTTGGGAAGCAGCTAACACAACTATCCACATAACAGCCAAACATCCTCAACTGTCAATTTCACAGCATCTCCCCAAAGTGCTTCAGCCTTGCTGCACTGAGCAGCTGAAAGAGAGTTGCATAGCTATGTTAGGATTAGGGGATATCCAATGACGTTCACTTGAAGGATAAGCAAACAAATAAAAGGAAGCACTTTTTCACATAGCTTATAATCAGTCTGCATATCTGCATAATTCATTATCACATAACAATAGTCACTGGAAGTTTTTAAAAGAATATTGAATAAATTCACAGAGAACATGCCTACTAGGGTTAATAATCTTAAAGATTCAGTTTACTTCCAGATTTGGGATGTTCCCATATATAAGGTATAAGGGAACAATGGTAGGAAGGGAGTATATATCCCTCTTCTGTTTGTAAGAACAACAGGGACATTTGGGTTTATATTGAGAATGAAAATGTTGGATTAAAATGAGCCTTAGACTGATCTGCATAATAGTTAGCTTTTAATGAACATCACAGATGCTAAAAAAGCCCCTTTGCTTTAGTTCTATGGGGAGGGTAAGTTATGAACTGCTGAGTGAAAATGATCAGGATCATTCTCAAGGACACCAGCTCCTCATATATCCTTGCTGACTAGCAGCAATCAATTTAGGCTATGCAGTTTGTACATGAATTGTTTTTATGCCTCCATAGGTATGGTAGAGATGAACAACAGTCAAGAGCTGGCCACTAACAAGGGCCTAATTAGACTCTTGAAAAGAAAATAGATGAGAGTTCAATAGATAAGGCAGGGTTCAAGAGATAGGACTCGCATATCCAATAAAAACAGCAATAAAATAAAGAATTACACTGAAATTATTCTCCAGGGAATTCAATATTATCACTTTCCATAAAGAGATAGTTCAGCAAATAAATAAGTTTAAAAACACACAGTGTAAATATCTCAACTTCAGATAATTTTAAATTTTATTTATTAATCAAATGTATAGAGCTGCCCATCTCACAAGACGTAACTTTGAGTGACATACAATAGTCAGTAGAAAAGAATACAAATATAAAAGTAGACATTTAAAAAGAGAAAATCAGTATTATAATGATTACATGAAAATTATATTAAGTACCATCAATATAATCCTTCTCTTGGACAAAGCATCCAATTAATATTAGACATGAAAATGCACTTTGCAAGCTTAGCTCGCAAAAACTTTGCATAAATGTATCCAAAGTCATCAAAGAAATTGTTGGTTCCTTTCCTTACTATAGCAAATTATTTTTAACTTCTAAAACTTCAGTGAACAATATTACTATAAAAGGAACTCTTATCTTTGTCTCACTAAATAAAAACAAAGGAACACAGACATCATTTATAATACTAATTAAACTACTTTAAAAAACATAAGAGCAATATATATATATATATAATCAAATCAAATCAAATCAAACAGTTACATAAATGTACTAAAGTAACATAGTTTCTTATTTATTAAATTTATATGACGACCATGTCCCTGATAAGGCAACTTACAAACAGTAAAAAGATAAATATAAAAACAATTATTTTTTAAAAAAATTATATAAAATCTAGAACTAAGGAAATGGATGGCACAGGGATGAGATTTTTGTATCCCATCAACCACTTCCAGTGGTGAGGAACACCCAAGCCAACTGGAAAAGTCAAGTTTTAATATCCTTCCAGAAGACCAAACAGATAAAAGCAGCTCTCACCTCTTTAAACCTTATTTAATTATTTATATAATTATCCTATACTATATTTATAATTAGAAAAATATATTTAAGTACCTGTCTGCAGTTTTAAGTGATTTATAGCATCTGTAATTTCTTTCACTACTCTGAGACTTCTTCCTATGCTTTCGGCTATTTGTAGTCTTTTCTTTTCCTTTATCATCCTCTTCAGAATAAGCAGCTTGTTTTGAGTGCTTCATCTTTTAAAAGAAAATCTATCAAGATAAAAGTGTTACATGCTCGTTTATTTAAAACAAATTAAAAGCACAACCTTAAATATTAAGTCAAAAAGGACTGCTATTATTTCAATAGGAGTTGATTTTACTTTAATATGGCAAATGAAGGTAAGGTTATATTCTAATTTCAATTTAGTGGAAATAAACCTCATTACAAAGTGAGACTTACTTCAGAGTTACTATAAAAAGAGCAGTTTACAAAAAATATTTAAGTCTGTAAAAACAGAACCATTTATTTAAATTCAAGAGAATTTCTGCCCATTTGTTGTATTCCCTCCCATTCCTCATTACTTGAACCCAATATGCTACTTATCAAGACAAAGAAAATAAATAAATATCCAGAATATTTTAGGTTAGATTGTCTTGAAATGATTGCTAGGGCAGACTGGGGCTGGAAACTTAATCCCTTCAAATCCCTTTCTCTACAATCTCTTCACTCTGCAAGTTGTAACATGGGGGAGGGGGAAAACAACCATTCATGAGGGCAATCTCTCTTTGGCTGACCTTTCTCCCATATCCCCTGCAGATTAGAAAAACTGGAGAGGAAAAAATTTCAAGAGAGTAAATTCTTGTTTGCTCTTCTACACATTGAAAGCAATATGATCACACTGGCAATGAGAAAGGGTATAGTAAACTGTATGTATGGCACATCCCTGGCTCCCAGCCCTGGACTGCAGACATGATCACATTGCTTTTGATGCATATAAGATATTAAGCAGGGAACTCAAGGATTCTGAAGAGCGGGCAGTGATTAGAAGACAAACCAAACCAAAGGGGAAAGGTTCAGGCAAAGGAGAGACTTACAGAAATCACTTGCTTTTTTCCCTCCCTTTCCTTTGCAAAGAGCAGAGATCGGAGAGGAAGGGATTGCAAGAGAGTAAGCTCCCTGTGTGATCATATTGCTTTCAATGTGCATAAGAGTAATCAGTTTAGTAGTCCAGGAGTATTAAATTTTGAATAAACATGTAAATTTCAGGTTTACTCTCAGACAAACAATTTTAGAGGCTGATTGCATTCTTGCTCTCTCCTAAATAAAAACAACCTTCAGGATTACTAACACTTTACAATTTACCATCACTATTTAGATCTCTATAGAGAATTCTACAAGGCTATCTTCTCATGAGCAGGTTAAGACTTCCAAAATGTCCAGGACCAGGCACTAGTACCAGAAGTCATGCCTATAGGTAGGTACATATCTACCGTAATAGGCATGAAAGAGGCTGATGACATTCAAACATTGTTAAAGCTATGGTTTATGAATAAACCATGATGGCTGTGTTTGCAGAACCTGCTAAATCAACAGGAACTGTATCCTACTAAGGTTTGCTGCAATGTGAAAACTCACTAAAAATCAATGTTGTCTTGCTCCTACTGTATGTCTCAACTACCTTTTGTTAAAGAGGATGCTCGGCTTAAACTGGGAAAGAGAGGAGCAACAGGCATCCCTGACAATACAATGCAACGAACAATATTAATACTGTGGCTTCTGCAGCATTAAGTGCAACGATGCTCCTTTTTAACCTTTCTATTACGATGTTTCTTGTAGATCTATTTTATTGGCAATTAGTGAAGTGCCAAAACAAAAGAGGGGTGCATCTCTATCTCAATACTATCTCGATATTACACTCACTCGGCTGTGATTATTCGAGGCTGATTATTTGTTATGCAGTCAAAAATTCGACTCTCTCTCCTCCACACAGAGATGTAGTACATAACTTCCACACGCCCAGTCCCATATTTATTTAGTCATCTCCAGATAAGACTGGAAAAACGGATTTCTACTCGTGGGATCGCTGCTGAGATACAATGTGGACCATACCAGTATATCTAACGAGCTAAATTTAAGTCACGTCGTTTGCTATTCTTTTAACGTAAAACTGCAATAATTAACCTCAGGAAAAGTATCGCGTTGGGGGGGGGGAGAGAACCTCTTTTGTTGCTATTCAAGTACCTCGGGGGAGAAAAAAGAAAATTTGAAATTATAGCAACTTTATCGTCGATTTGCTGTCCTCCTCATTACCCCAACCCAGGGGTAGGCAACCTCGGCTCTTTTATGACTCATGGACTTCAACTCCCAGAATTCCTGAGTCAGCATAGCTGAGTCAGCATAGTTGAAGTCCATGAGTCATAAAAGAGCCGAGGTTGCCTACCCCTGCCCCAACCGGAACATTAATGCTTTCTTCCCAACCCGGGAGATGGGTCACAAAGACGCTCCACTTCACACCTACCTTTTTTCCTCTCCACAAAGCTCACCTGACGAAGGAAAAAGAAGCGCTACCAATTTCCCCGTCCCTTCCTAGCTACGAGCAGGTGGGAAGACCTCGGTTTCCCCCCCTTATCAAGTAGCCAAACAAACAAAATGGCGGCTTTCTTCTCCCCGCCCACCTCCGGAATTACGTCACACATCCGAGGCCGGGAAGAAAGCTGCCGCCTTCCCCGCGGGGATTCCTTTATTATAGAATGGCCAAGTTTGTTTGGGGTGGTTTTTTTTTTGAACTTTTGAGCGTCCTCACGAGGAGGGTTGCAGCCCGAACGTTTAGATCGGAACTTTTGGAGCAGAATTGCAGCAGCAGGGCTTTTATCACCCACAGCCTGAAAGCGGAGGGAAGAAAGGCAGGAAAATGAGCGTGGATCTGGGAGGAACGCTGTCTACATCAGGAGTATCCAGACTTGGCCAAACTTAAGATTTGTGACTTCCCCTCCCAGAATTTTGCCAGCCAGCCACGTTGGTTTATTTATATCCCGCCTGCATTTATTTTTTATAAATAATTCCAGACGGCGAAGACACCCACTGGGTTACTTCATGGTATCTCTAAATGTATCTTGAATGTGTTAAATTAGTGCATCTGCAGCCGAGAAGAAAGGATGATCGGCCTTTTCCGTGGAAATTAATGCTTGGCAATGCGACGGGGAAAGGGGTCGGAGGCAGCAGTGCGGTCTTCCAGAGGTGCGCATCTCACCTGACACGTTAGAAGCAGCTTAATTAAAGGTGGTAACAAGTTTCTTTTTTAAAAAAAAAAGTAATAAAGTGGTCCCAAAGTATTCCCTGCGGGGAAGTCGCAGCACACACACAGACCCACCCCCGCTTTGCGAGGGTACTGGAGTCTGAAAAGCATTTTGGAAAACGAGGGTGCAATTCTCGCTCCACGCGACAGAGGAACCTGGATTACAAAAAGCAAATTACATAGTTTAATTTGTTATTACTTTTACATTTGCAACTATGCTACCTAAAGAGACGTTACAAAATTCTCAAGACCCCCCTGAAATCTGAACAAAGTTGTATAGTGTATTATAGCTCTCACTTTTGCTTCAGAAGAACGCCGCTTTCCCCCAGGGCCAAGCGTAAAAAACCGGTGAGATTTTCTCTCTTCCCAAAGTTTCCCTTTTAAAAGAAATAAAAGTCCCACGCCTTTCCCTCCACAGGCCAGGTTCTCTGACTTATCCAGAGTAGAGCACTGTAAAAATTGAGGCTTCGCCCACGTAGTGCCTGGAGGACGGAGGGGTTGGGTGCAGAGATTATGAAGTCAGAAGCAGCGATTGGTTAATTTTTGTGGCTTCCCACGGCGTGGCGCGTGTTTAGGTTGAAGTTTTCATATGCTCAATGTCCGAGCGGTTTTTCTCTGCTAATTGAAATAAACTATTGTACGTTTTATTGTTTCCAGGGTTGCTTTGCCACCAGCGTAACTGGGAAAGGGGCTACTTAAAAATCCTCGGAATGTGGTTTGAAAATGCAGAGGCAACATTTGGAGGGTAGCATGCCGTAATGTACTTCCCGCATAGGAACTGCAGGAAAAGCATTCGTCTATGTTTATAGAAAACTAGCTGTACCCGGCCACGCGTTGCTGTGGCTCAGTCTGGTTAAATGGAAAAGAAAGAAAAGAGAAAGCGCACGTTTGTGTCACAGGTGTGACATCTATATAATAGTAGGATTTCTTTCTCCCATATTTGGGTCGACAGGGTGCATCAAAAAGCACTCGAGGTAATAGTAGGTATATAAAAACACGTGCGTATTCGAATGCAATGTTGTGTCAAAATTTCAAAGCGAAGAACTTTCAAAATTTCAAAGCGAAGAAATTTCGGAGATTTAAGATTTTGAACAAACGAACATTTACATTTTTATTTATAGATAGATAGAAGATAGGGAGAAAGAAAGGAGAGCAATGCATAAGCAGATTGTCTTGACTGCAAACAGCTCCCACGTTTTTATGTAATCTCCAAAACGTCATTTTTCCAATTGTATTGAGAAAAATAAAACAAGACCATGAAATTAAAAGGATTTTTCCCTCTGAATTCTGAGCGTGCAGATGAAGGATCTGGCTTGTGTGCCAGCGAAATCTCTGATGCAATAATTGATCTTGGAAGTGATGCTGGAAATTCTGTAGCTTTTGATCTTGAGAGACATTAAAATTCTCATTGAAGCTATGTAAAGAGCGGTGTTCAGACTTCAGTGGCTTCATACAGATTGTTTAAGAATTTACTTATGGAATCGATTGTATCTTTAATGTTATATGGAATCAGTTAACGATCATTGGAACTGAAGCAAATCCTTTTCTTTTTACAGTTTGGGAAAGAGCTAAGATATAGTTACTTATCCTTTAGATATCCTTGGGTTTTAATGTTGTTTTCAGTATTTTTTGTATTTTTTTAATAATTATGGGTTATTTTTGTAAGCCATGCAGACATGCCAGTAAAGTGATGAATATGTAAAGCTTTAAGTTTAATACTGTAGTGCATAAATAATTTCTTTTAAATGTATTAAAGTCTGGTTCAAGATCATGTTCTGGGGTTTTCCTCCTATCTTGGTTGGATAGTGATCCAGCCCTGGATTTATCTACATCTAGATCCCACAGGGCCATATTAGAGCCTTATCAAATTGGCTTCCAACTACATGTGGACAAACACTGGTCCAGACAGAGTG